AGTTCGAGATTCTACTAGATTTGATCGATAATATTATTACAGAAGTCGCACTCATCGTATTCAACTATTGCTAGGAATTTTACCCACAAAAAGATTAGGTTCTAAAGAAAAAAATATTAGGAGGATCTTTTGTGGGCCATTTAATGTCCGAAAATTATTGTAAAATAACTAATAAACTATTAGAACTTAGAGACAATATATATATTATACGCATAAAATCTTCCAAAAATAAAAGGAATTTATAAGCATTAGATGAAGATATTGTGTTGTCATTACCGCGACCCTTTGCTTTGGATCTTTTGTGGGGGAATTTTGGCTAATAATTAGATTAGATCCTACTATTTATATATAGCTAGATATCTGTACATGTGATTCGTATAAAAAATTGTTCTTTTGTGTGCTCTAAGAATATGAAATCGAATGGATCACATATTCACATGCATGAATAAACATTTTTAATTGTGTAATTAATTGAAATTATTTGATCACAAAGCATGTCTTGGTTTGTAGATATTGTACAAGTGGAAAGTGCAATTTTTACAAATTTATCCTCGCATTAGATTTTGTGAAAAAATCATTCATTTTAAGAGTGTTCTATTATGAGCATGCTTAATATTAAAAATCTCGGTGAACTCGGAATATTAATTGGGGACGTAATATTTTATGAATTCCTCTATACATTATAATTAATGATCTTGCAATCACTGGTAATAAAAATGTTTTTTTTTTTTCGCAGCAGTTGTTAGGGGCGGTTTGAAAACCTACCCCACAAGTCCTTAAACTGTTGCAGAATATTATTGTAGCGCATATCATGCCACAGTGACAAAGAAATTAGTGGCGGTTATAACCGCCGGTATAACTCAAAAATAGTGATTCGATAGTCCTATTTTTTTATGGTGAATCTATCCAAATTAGGTGTTACTTGGTTTGGTTACAATTATAAAATTTATTTAAGTAGGGCAAATTCCAAATGTAGCTATATATATCTTTGAAGAATGCATCATCCTCGAATGCCTATGTTGTCCTAAAATCATTGATGTCCAGTGCCACAACCATGCCCCAGTGCAGATGAACTCACTTCACAATCTTCAAGCTCCAGCCTAGCTATATATCAGCCTCTAATTAACGAGAGATTATTGGGTTTTGACATCGGATACAGCTTACCGTTCGGTGCTTCAAAGTACCGAGTAATACTGAATTCGGTACTGTGAAGTACTGAGTTCAGTGCTGCTTGGTACTCTGGAGTATCGAGCTCAGTACCGAGTAGGGGGTGATGTGGTTCATTTTCATGGGCTCCAGACGTCGTTCGGTGTCCGAACCCAATAATTTCCCCTAATTAACTATGACTCCAAACCATCATTCCTACATCATTCTCAAGAGAAAAAAATAGTGCCAAGATTTCTTAATATAAATTATGTCAAGATGGAGTTAATTATCATTAAATTTGTGCCGAGATTAGTATTACATCCTATAACCAAAAGCTGGATGAATATACACATATACAAGGATGAAATTATTTATTCTTTCTTATTTTTTCTTGTTTGTCTAACAATTTTGATCCATGAAATACAAAAATGTATAAAAGATACTTTATTTTATAGTTCTCCATGTTATTAATTTGATTATTTTAATTTTTAGCCTCACAATAATATAGAACCTTATGTTGTGAGCATATTTTTGATGATAAATAGATTATGTTATGATCACAATGAAGGAATAATATCACGGATATATTCTTTATATTTTGATTAGGTCATCAGAAAATAATAATATTATGTCTTTTTCAACTGAATTAACTCTTCTTATTAAAAGGTGTATGCAATCACAAATGGATCGCAAAAGAATAGAATATCATGAAATACATACTTGAAGAAGTTCAAATCTGTTGAAATAAATTGTGCAACAACTAACATTTTCAAATCAGTCACAATATTAGAGGTGGTGGCAGGTCATCATCACCCCCTTTTTTAGACAAAAACCTAAGGAAATTACCTAAAAAAGTTGTAATAAAGACTAAAAAATAGATGGCGTCGCGGGGGACAAATTAACTAAAAAATCATATAATAATTTTTTAAAAATCTTTTAGGGGGGCAATTTCCCCCTGGGCTTTAGGTAGATCCGTCCCTAATTGATGATATTCTTCTTGTTGATAATAATAGAGAGGGAGTTGAAGGTAAACTTTAATTATGGAGGTCAATCTTAGAGTCTATAGGTTTTCGCTTGAGTTGATTTAAAATTGAATATATGGAGTGTAACTTTAGTAGTAATATAACTAGTGAGGAGATTGTGACTTTGGGAGATCAAGCCATTAATATGAGTACACGTTCTAGATATATCTTAGATCTATTGTTCATATTGGGATATTATCAGTAGAATTCAAGTTAGATGGTTGAAGTGGATGAATGCATCGGGCTTGTTGTGTGATAGAAAAATCCCCCTCAAACTTAAGGAAAAATTCTATAAGATGACGGTGAGACTTCCTATGCTTTATTGTGCCAAATGTTGGTCATTAAAAGAGAAACATAATACTAAATTAAGTGTTCTAGAGATGAGGATGCTCTCAAGTGGATGAGTGACTTTACCCTTAGAGATAGGATACCAAATAAACATATATATGAAAAAGGTTAGAGTAGCTCCAATGAAAGATAAGCTTAGAGAGAGTACGTCGACCTTAGATGTTTTGACATCAATTTTAAGAAATGTGATTGTAATATATCTGTGAAGAATCTAGCTTTTCTTAAAGCTGCTGTAGAAATAAATTTTAAGTATAAAAATTCTTAAAAATAGTAAAAAAATATATACTAAAAGAAGCCTTAAATCAGCTCACTCATAAAATAAGATTCAAATATTAATCCTAAATAAAGAGATATCGAGATTCCTCAAGATAATGCTGAGAGGTTATAAAACTATTTTCCAAGCAGAAAACGGTATGGGCTCAAACTGTCTATAAATTTTTTGAACTATAAAATGTCTCTCTCACTTTCTCTCATGGGAGCTGAGCGTAGCAGATGCAGGCGAATCTTGGGCATGCTGCGTTCGAGGGAGATCTTTAAAGTGTGATCTCTGCTTACGTTAGTCCAACCAAGCCTCGTCCCACATTTCCACTTCCATTTGCCCCACCCCCAAAAACCCTGCCACAAGATTTTGTTCCTGCACTTCTGCGCCATACTCCCCATTCAAGCTTCTTTGTTTATTTAAACATTTATCCAAATTGTTCTATTTTTCTTTTTTTTTAATTGTTATGATTTTATTTCTCCATTTATAGCAATAATTTTACTGTTTTATTTGAGTAATGCTAAAATTGCTTATTTGGAGTATATTGTTCTAGTAAAAATTGACTGATAGAGTAAGTTCTCATGCTTTATGCAGTTCATCTTAGATTTCAGCTTCGTTTGGGACGGTTTTCTTCCTACTTCATAAAGCTACTTTCTAGTACAAAAATTAAAATTTTTATACTAGAAAGTCGCTTTAGAAAGCAGTAAAAAAGCCGTCCCAAACATGAACAATTATTACGTCATCTGACCTGACGTAGAGGTACGTTCGGCCGCCAATAACATGTCGCCACGTGCTTTTACTCTTTACCGCGCGGCCCGACGACTTGACCCGGAGCGGAACCCGGGAATGCTATGTTCGCGATTTTCTCGGTATTGCTCGGTATTTGCTCGGAATTGCTTTGCAAAAATGAGAAATACCGCTCTGTGAACACCAAAAATATACAAATACCGAGTTGTACCGAGTTTTTCTACAACTCGGTACAACTCGGTATTTTCTCAGGATTTGCTCGGTATTGCTAGGGATTTGCTCGGTATTGCTAGGTATTTACTCGGTATTGCTAGAAAAACTAGGTACAACTCGGTATTTGCCAGATATTTAAAATATATCCAAAAGGCGATGGAATGTTGATCGGCTCGTCAAGGAATTAAAAAAACGCACGCGCTAGAACCCAAAAAACAGCGGGTCGGTTCGGCGACTTTTCTTCGTGCTACGTGGCGCTAAAATGTTGGTGGCCGAACGTAGAGGAGCGTACGTTCACCGAACCAAATAATTGTTCCCCAAACATAGCCTTCATTGAGGACATCTTTAAATCACTATTTTTCATTTTTATTTTTAAGAAATTTTTATACTTAAAAGCAACTTTACAAAGCTTTAAAAAAGTCATTCCAAATGAAGCCTTGATAAATTTCTTATTGCTTCTTAAAACAGTTTTTTGATATAAAAATTATAATTTTTTACTAAAAAGCTTCTTTAAAAATCACCAAGAAAGCCATCCCAAACAAAGTCTTGAATTATTAGTTTCCACTTTTTAATCAAAATTAATTTTAAATTAATAGAGAAAATCATGAGTGGAAATACGCTTATATAGTAATATAATTAAAAAAGGATTTAGTTATTTATTTCTAAATTATACCGAGTTCATGCCTTAACTCAAATTTTAGGTGAGCACAATTAATTTACTAATACAATTAAATTAACGTTAAATTCAACAAATAATAAACTAAATCAATAACAAAAAACAATAACAACACCAAGCCTTTATTCCAATAAGCGAAGACAAAATATATTAAAAGAATTATATTATAATAAGTAATACAGTTCTTTATTTTTTTTTCATTGAGGACTCGAGACTTATATATTTGGTACTATAAAATTTTTAATTTTGGTACTACAAAGCTATTTTTAGAAGCATAAAAAAAAGATGTGAAAGTTCCTCTTCATAAAAAATTTAATACAATAATGCAAAAGAGTCCTTTGTAATTTTTTAATTATCTAAATAAATGATCATACGCAAAATTCACCCATACAAATACCAAACTCTCTCAAGGGTTTTCCCTCTTAAAAAAATAACGTTAATATTTCATTGTAAATTTAAATTATGCTTAATTTTCTCCTTTAAAAAAATAATCATATAATTTTATCTAGTATTGCCCATCCTCTGAACCTCTCTCTCTCTCTGCATCCTCATCTTCTCTCTCTCTCTCCCCTCCTCTGTCCTCCTCGTATAAAAAACCCAGACAACATCACCATTCCCACCAAGTAACCAACCATGCCTTCAGCAACCCACAACCTCGTCCTCCTCCTTCTCTTCATCCACCGCCTCATCTCCATCTCCACCGTCGGCCTCTCCCTCCCCCCTTCCCCTGCTCTCACCCTCCTCCCCTCCCAAACCCTTCCCACCGCCGTCGATTTCGGCGCCACCACCCATTCCCTCCCCCTCGCCGTCCTCCGCCCTTCCTCCCCCTCCGACATCGCATCCCTCATCCGCTCCGCCCGCCTCTCCTCCCCTCCCCTTCCCATCTCCGCTCGCGGCCACGGCCATTCCATCAACGGCCAAGCCGGCGCCAGCGGCGGCATCGTCGTCGCCATGAGCGGCGGCGCAAGGCGGAGAATGTCGCCTCCGGTCAACTCGATGGAGTTCGGGAAGACGTATGTGGATGTGTGGGGAGGGGAATTGTGGATAGATGTGTTGAATTGGACGCTAGCGAATGGCGGATTGGCGCCGCGATCGTGGACGGATTATTTGTATTTATCGGTGGGGGGAACTCTGTCGAATGCAGGGATCAGCGGTCAGGCTTTTCACTATGGGCCGCAGATCAGTAATGTCTTTGAGCTTGATGTGGTTACCGGTAAGTCAGACAATTTTTTTTTTTTAAAAATATATTATTTTTTAATTATGAAGTATTTTAAGATTATAAAATTTATTTTCTGATGAATATACCATAAAATTTAATTAATTTAATTAATTATATATTATATTCATTTTAAAATAAATTAATGATTTTAATATTGTTTTATTAAAATTTGATTAGATTATTCTCATTTTAATTAAAAAAATTATATTAAGATGGTGCAAAAAATAGAAAAAATTTAAGAAGGGAATTGTTCATATTATAGTGTGTTTTTTTAGTTTTTTTTAAAACATATGATATTTAAATAAGGATAATAGTAATTTAATTTTAAATCTCCTTTTGGTTTATTATTTTGCATAATTTACCATTTCTCCTCAAAGGAATGTTAAATTAGGTAAAATATTTGGAATAAAAAGGCAATCGAATTCACGAAAATTATCTCACTTAATTTCGGGGGTAAGAATAAAAATGTAATTTGATGCATTTTAAGTTTCATTTGGGACAATTTTTTTATGCTTTCTAAATTAATATTTATCACACAACTTTTTTTAAACTAGAAATTTTATAATTATCCAATAAGAAACCTTAATCTCCTCTTTGGTCAATTATTGCACATGCTAAAATATTTGTTAAGGGCATTTAATAATAACCATGAAATTAATAAATTACAAATCTCACTTCAAATCTCAAATTATAATAAATTTTGAGGTATTTTGAGTGTTTTTAAAAATAATTATTGCCGCAGTAATCATCACTCTTATATAAGTCATTTTATTTGATTTTTAATCAAAATATAAAATATAAGTTAAATAGTATAAAAAAAAATGGAAGTATTCCTTTTTAAAATGTTAAATAAAGTGTATAAAAAAGTTTTTTTTTTTTTGGGAAAATAGTGTATGAAAAAGTTAATTGATTGAACTAAAATTATTATAGAGTACTTTCCTTTTTATTAGTTTATAACCTTGACGTTGAGGATAACACAGTAATTTACTAATTTGAGGTACTTCAATTTCTTTTTGGTTGATTGTTACGCACAGTTACAGCATTTCTTTAACTGTATAGAACTTTTGGATTTGCTTGATGTCGATTGATTTGAGCTGGAAAATCATGTCTGCTTATGATTAATATTATCATCCATCGATGTTTAGGGTGGTTGGTAGGCGAGCATGTTTGGGAACCCCATCCCGGATTCAAATCCCCTCTACTATAGCCTCGGGGCAAAGCAAGTGTGGGCCCGATGCCGGTGGATGGCCTTGTTAGACTTCGCTGAGGGATTAATTACTCCGCCAAGCACCCTCTTTGAATTGGCAGCGGGGTAGATAACCCGTTCCAAAAAAAAACTTTTGGATTTGCTTGAGGTGGATTGATTTGAGCTGGAAAATCATGTCTGTTTATAAATAATATTATCTATTTTTTAGTGAAAGTAATCATCTTTTTTTTTTTGGTAGAATTGCAATATAACTATTTCATGCATAATCTGGGATATTTTTTTTTTTCTAAGCAGCTTTCTAATATCAAAATTCTTAGTTCAAAAAAATTTGTGTATTAAAAAAAAGTTGTTCTAAATAATGCTTAATGCTTTGTGCGGACAGTTTTCTTACTGTTTATTATAGCAGCTTTTTAGCATAAAAATTTTAATTTTAGTACTAAAAAGCAGCTAGCAATAAGAAAACCGTTTCAAACGAAGCCTTAGTTTAATTGTGGTTGCTCTCGTCATGGCTTTTTATTAGCTTGTAAGTTTGATCCTGGCATTTTGCAGGTAAGGGAGAGTTGGTGACTTGCTCACAGGATGATAATTCTGAGCTTTTCCATGCTGTTCTTGGTGGCTTGGGGCAGTTCGGAATCATAACTAGAGCAAGGATTGCCCTTGAGCCGGCTCCTCAGAGGGTTAGTTCAAAACATTTTGTCTCTAGCTAGATAAGTACTGTTAAATCAAGTTGCATGGCTTATACTGCCACTTATTAGTTTGTTTAGTCTCAAAGCTGTAGATTCTAATCAGGTGAGATGGATCCGAGTTCTTTACTCCAACTTCACTTCCTTCACAAGGGACCAGGAGCAACTCATCTCCCTCCATGGCCAACAAAGATTCGACTACATCGAAGGCTTCGTCATCGTCGACGAAGGCCTAATCAACAATTGGAGATCCTCCTTCTTCTCCCCTAGCAATCCAGTGAAGATCAGTTCCATCGGCGGCGGCGGCCGTGTTCTCTATTGTCTTGAACTCACCAAAAACTACCACCACACCTCAGCTGACTCAATTGATGAGGTTAGCCACTTTTGTACTTTGCATGTTATCTATTCATTAATGCATCTTCCTAAGTTGCAACCACATGGGAACATGAAAGGAGATCTCATAGTCTAGATTTTATTCTATCAACTTTCATTATTTTATTCTGTGCGGACACTGTACGAGTCCAAAGACGAATCAGAGCGCGCCATATGACTCAGGTGCTATGATTCGCCTCTGAATGACACGGGTGTGTCAGCACGGAATAATTTATGCTGCCTTTGCCTCAACAAACATGCATAATTAATGAATTAATGGTGTGATTTTATCAGGAGGTGGAGGGTCTGCTAAGGGAACTGGACTTTATACCGGCTTCGGTTTTCACGACTGACTTGCCTTACGTTGATTTCCTGGACCGGGTTCACAAATCTGAGCTGAAGCTGAGGGCAAAGGGGCTGTGGGAGGTCCCGCATCCCTGGCTCAACCTCTTTGTGCCGGCGTCCCGCATAGAGGATTTTGACCGTGGGGTCTTCCGTGGCATTCTTGGAAATAATACGAGTGGCCCTATTCTGATCTATCCAATGAACCAACACAGGTACATGCATATATGCTCCCATTAATTTATTCACCAAGATAAATATGAAAACATTTCAAAATAGTTCTCAAATTATTTTTATATGATTATTTTAGTTTCAAAGTATGAAGTTGCTTTAATTTAGATTTCATTTGGGACGTTTTTTTTACTGTTTCTTAAAATAGTTTTTTAGTACATAAAATTTTTGTACTAAAAAGCTGCTTTTAGAAGCAACAAAAAAGTCGTCCCAAACGAAGTTTTAGTCACTTGACTATACAAAATTGATACAAAAAAATGATGGATTTGAGATTAGATTCAGATCAATTTGGTAAAGTTGAGGTACTAAAAAAACGGAGACTATTCTTTGTCAATTTTGTATAGTCAAGAGACTATGGCTTTGTTTGGGACGGCTTTCTTCCCGTTTCTTAAAGCGAATTTCTAGTACATGAATTAAATTTTTTGTACTAAAAAGCAATTTTAAGAAGCAATAAGAAAGCCGTCCCAAACGAAGCCTATATGGAGTAGCATGATATTCTGAGACTAAGGCTTTGTTTGAGACGATTTTTTTATTGCTTCTTCAAACAGAGTTTTACTTAGCCATCCAAAACAAAGCCTAAATTGATGATACACGAATAATTTGTGGAATATTTCAAAAAAATTTTAATGAAGATATTATATAAATCTAAAGAACAAACTTATATGCACGTGATGGACATAGGGTAAATTTGAAGCAGCTTCAACTTTAGAATGGAATATATATATATATATATATATATATATATAAAATTATTATGATTATTATAACTAAAAAAATAGGTATCAACTTTCTTAAAATAAATTATTAATTCATTATATAAATAATAAAATTGATAAAGTAAAAATATTATGATCAAATAGAAGTATGACATAAACATTTAAAATAATTTTCTCAAACAAACTCTTAACTTCACTGAAAACTAAATTGAAATTAAAAAAAATGAAATTTAATTTTCAAAGCTTAAAAAAAAAAATTTAACCAATATTTTTTTTTTAATAGTTTGTCGGTCATAGATAATTTTGTAACTGGCTTCTTTATAATAAATATTGAGATTAGTTGATCATCGGTCCTTATCATCCAAATAATATTGACAATAAATTCAATTATAAAAGATGTAAAATAAATAAAGCAATCAAATAATGAGGCCTAAAACTTTCACGTTCCTTTTTCTTTGATAGTACAAAAGAGCTAAAACATCCCTTCTTGGGCTTCTTTTAGGGATTAATTATTCTGTGTGGATGCCGAATGCTATCTGGACACCAATCAGAATGCGCCATGTCACCCCTATGCTCGGTACCATGGCTCGGTACCACTGACGGATTGGTCTCCGAACGACATTCTGTGTCCGGTCTCCGCATAGAATAATCTCTCTTTTAAAACAATTTTTTAACTATTTTTTGAACTTGAAAATTTTAACTAAAATTTAATTTTAAAAAGCAGTAATAAAGCTGCCCCCAAATGAAACCTTAACCTCTCAACCTAGAGAGATTATTGGGTTCGGACACCTGACACAGCTTACGTTCGCTATTCACAGTACTGAGCTCGGTACTGTGAAGTTTGAGTACCGAACAGTACTGAGCTCGGTACTGAGCAGTACTCAGTAGGAGGTGATGTGATGCATTTTTATTGAGCTCCAAACACGTCCGATGACCTGACCCAATAATTTCCCCTCAACCTAAAAGCCACCGAATCTATTAATTGCTAAGCCAAATCTAATTCGATGGATGGCGACCTGATTTCCGTATTAAAGCCAATTAGCCAGTAGGCAGCCTGTCCTATTTATTTTGATAAATTATTTGAAAAATATTAAACAAATACTAAGTACTATCAGTGAAAGAGAAGCAGCACGTTCTTACTGCAATAAAAATAAAGGCAAATCACCAAATAGCTAATTCTATCTAGTTTGTTCCTCTGGTCACCAACAAAAGCTCGCCACTTTCAGCAAAACCAAAGAAAAAAAAGGAAGTTCAGCATATATCTCATCGCAGAAAGCAATGGATTCTGTAATCAAATCGCTTGCATGCATGGAACGTGATTTTTCCACTAAGCTTTTCAAAAAGTGATTTTGATTTATGTGAAAAATTATGTTTTTAATTCTGAATCGCAGAGATAAGAACATTGAAAAATTTGTGTAGGTGGGATGAGAGGAGCTCTGTGGTGTTGCCGGAAGAGGACATTTTCTACCTGGTGGCCTTCTTGAGGTCTGCGGTGCCCGGCTCTAGTGATCTGACGAAGAGCTTAGAGTATCTCTCCGATCAAAACCGGCAAATCCTCAAGTTCTGCGAGTCAGCCGGCATCGACGCCAAGCAATATCTTCCAAGCCACCGGGGGCGGAGCGAGTGGCGACGCCACTTCGGACCCGATAAATGGGAGACATTTCAACGTCGGAAAGCTGAGTTCGACCCGAGCTGCATCCTCGGTACCGGCCAAGGGATCTTCCACCCTTCATCTTGTCCCTTCACGTCCTCTTTGCTCCCCTCATGAATCAACAGTGAAAGAATTTTTTAGGAGTGTAGAAATTCTAACATGGTGGGCCAGGCTGTGGGTCCGGAAAAATTATTAAGTGCGGTGTTTGAACGTGTCCGGAGGTCAATTCAGATGTGTCATGTCACATAATGTACAAATATTGGATGACGTGACATGTCTGGATTGGCCTCCTGACGTGCTCGGACACCGCACAGAATAATCTCTCGTGGGTCGGGCTGCTTTCTGGGCGAAGGTTATGAAGGAGACAAAGGGATTCAGTAGTGATGGAGATGTAAAGGAAGATAGTCTGTCATTGATAAGCAAACAAAAGGAAGTGAGAAAGAGAATAAAAATGGTGGGGACTTTTGAGGAAGAGGATGGGAATACAATATGGCCTGTTTGACAAGGAAGAATTTCAGAATCACATGAAGCAAACATGCTTGATTTCTTTCTCTTTACAAAAGACAATGTTGAAGATCTCAGAAAGTTCAGCAGTGCATAGCTCTGATATAAAATGCTTTTCTTATTTGTATAAATTATCAATATTCATCTTTTTTTTATTTCATGCACCATGTATCATTTTGCTGTAGTTTTGAACGAGGATAAGAAACGCTTGTAAGTTTTGAAATTAATTTTAAAATTTTGCCTCTAACAGAAAAAAAAAAAAGCTTAGTTTAGCTTGAGCGAGCTCAAAATGAGGAGAAATTACTAAGTGCGGAGTTTAGACGTAAGCCCGGCAGCTTGCATTTGGACTCCAATCAAATTAGGCCACGTTATTTGTACATAAGTTATGTACAATCTTGTACATAGTGTGTGTATAATTAGGGGTGTAAACATTTGACACGACCATAAAATTTGACCAAAACCTGATCCAGAAATTTCGGGTTCAGGTTGAACTGAACCCGAACCTGGTCGGGTTAATGTTAGGAATTTCGACCAGTTTGTAAAACCGGGTCGGGTTGGGGTTGACCCGAAAACCTAAAAATAACTCGGAATGACCGCGCCCGCCTGCCATGCCCGAGTCTACTCGCATGCCACGCCTGCCTCCATGCCGCGCTTGCCCGCATCCAGCTGTCCCAATTCACGAATCAGTCGTCGAGCATATCGCGCTTGCCTCCAGCGTCTCGCCGCCCACGTCTGATGTCCGACATCCTGTTGTCCCACTTTTGGATCGTGTTGTGTTGACCTGAATTTGAAGCAGGTTGGGTTCAAATCTAAAAAATTGATCCGTTTGACAAAAGGAGTGGGGTTTGTGTCAACCCAAATAGTATCGGATCAATTCCGAGTTTGACTCGTGACCCGAAATTGACACCGCTATGTATAATACCGAACTCCACACGTAATAATGTCTCCAAAATGAGATTATGTTAAAAGCTCATCGAGTGTTATTCACTCACCCACATGGTGAGACATGATGGTCGATGAGCAAGTGACTTAAACTCTAATATTATTGGAGTATTACAAAGCTCAATTAGAGTGAGTTGTGTTTCATTCAAATTTGAAATGTTCATCATTAATTTGACATGAATTTATCTTAAATAGAACTATCATTTGAGTTGAACTCACTCAATTTTCACTCTTATCTTTCAAAATTACAAAATTATCAAATATTAAGTAGAGATAATTTAACTTCTTGAAATAGAGTTACCCTTATATATGAGATTAAATATTCTTATCATTGAAAATCTTAGAATGTAGGATTGTTTTCTTGGAGGGAATAATCATCTTCTTTCTTATAAGAAAAATATCACTGTCTCTCTCTTAAAGACTACCAAAACTTCTAAACTCTGTGAGGTCAAGAACCAAGGTATATCTATTGTATCTTATAAATTTATGTGTGCATGCACATTATTGAGGTGTGTAATGCTTAAATATGCATAAAAGGATCATTATACAACAACAACATCATCAAGCTTTTGTCCCACTACGTCGGGTAGGCTACATGAATCATTTTTCTCCACAGTGTCCTATTAAAAGTTAAATTCCCGTTTAAACCTAATAAAACAATATCATTTCTAATATTTTCTAACCAAGACTTTTTAAGTTTACCTCTATCTTTCTTAACATAAGTCAAATCTAATACCTCTACTTTCCTAACCAGGTCATCGAAAGGCCGCCGTTTTATGTAACCAAACCATATAAGGTCTACCTTTACATAAAAGGATTATTATGAAAAAAAAAATAAAAAAAAATAAAAAAAAATTCTCTAGTCTTTTTAGCTGACATGTGATATATGATCTTGAAATCGAAAAACATAATGTTGAATCAAATCAAAATGTAAAGGAAGTTAAAAAACTATAATTAAAATTGCCTCACCTAAATCACAATAGCTTGTGCTTTTGCTTTATTTATTTATTTCAAAAGTGTGCTTTGTGAAGTGAGTAAAGGAATGAAAGATGACATCATGCACATAACTTGTTGCAGCTACTTTTGATGGAATGAAGATATGAAGATCTTGGAATCAGATTTCATGATATCATCATTCTGAATACAATTCCATATATGGCTCTCAGCTAACACACATTTATTACTTAAATAACTTCTGATTGCTGTAACGCACTTATCAACTTATTAGTATATTTGGGAGAGAGCTAGCTGTGCTCTTTATTTTGTTGGTCACAATTAGGTTTGTGTTTTGATGTCTACTTTGAGTTTGATAATTAATTATAAACCCTTCATTCTCAATCACTAATCATGCATGTCTCTTAATTGTCAAAGCTAAAATATCAAGCTTTTTAGATAATGGAATAGAGAAGTAATGTTATATTCGTAGATTCTACGATTTTATTTGGGACAGCTTTCTTACAACTTTTTAAAGCAATTTTTAGTAAAAAAAATATTTAATTTGATGAATATTTGTACTAAAAAGATGCTTTAAAAAGCATTGAAAAAATTGTCCCATAAGAAGGATTGTGTTTGATCTGCTTTTTGCCTGCTTTTGTAGTAGTTAAAATAGCAAGCAAAAAAGTAAAAGATGTTGGAAAGAAAAAAAAAGGGTTATTTTACAATTATTTTAAAATTTTATTTTTGAGAAAATATAATAGAAATTATAATTAACAATAAGTCCTGTTTTATATTATCCATTGAAAACTTTTATTTTTTTAAATAATAATAATATTTAACTATTTTAAATTTTAGCTATAAAAAATTGTATAACTGAGTTTTTTAGTAATTTTTTTTAATTTGAAATTTTTTTTACTGAAAAAAATGCTTCATATAATAGTAAAAAATTGAAAAATTGTTATACAACATTTTTCATGTTTGTTAACTTCTTGTGTATTATGAATGTTTTATGTTAATTGTTTAGTCAATTAGTCAGCCTTATTTTATTTGTCGGCACTTTAGCCTTTTTTTTTTACTTCCATACACATAGAATGCTGCAATTAGACAACTCAACAAGCCTACTGAATTAGAACTTTGTCAAGTGAAAGTCTTTCAAATAAAAATTAGCATCTTCTTAGCATTAAAATTTGACCACAATTTTTTTATCTTTTGGCCTAATTTTTCAACATTGTACCATCAACTCGATAATCTGAGGCTTCAAAATTATTTCAATGGGCGATTTTGATTGCCTGAAAATTTAATTGAAATCTCAAAACCCAGAGATTTTTAAGGACTTTAAATTAAGATTTCATTTAGTTGATTTATGATTTTCTACTTTTAATTTAAAAAATAAAAAGAGTCAAAACAGATTAAAAAAATAAAAAAGAGTCAAAAAATATTGATCTAGGAAAAAAAATAACAATAAAGAAAAATTAGTGTTAAACTTTATCTATATAAACACTTAGGTTTCATTTGAAACAACTTATTTATTATTTTTACAAGTAATTTTTTTTTTACAAAAAAATTTATAATAAAAAATAGCTTTAAAAACAATAAAAAAAACCTTAGATTTTAGCATAACAATAATTTTTATTTGACTGCAGCTGTCAAAAAAAAAAATTTTGCTTGAAAACTGCTTTCTATAACTATTTTTAAAAAAAAATTATAACAACTTTATAAAGAAGTATAAAAATTATTCCAAAATAAAACCTTAATTAGGCCTTTCAAAAGAAGCCCTTTTCTAAATTTTGATTTAAGAAAAAAAAAAAAAGGAATTTTGAACGGCTGCAAAAATATTATCATCGTTAAACCAGGGCGAATCTAGCAACTTCAAGCAGTTAATAGAAAAGTAATCGATCAAATGAGAAGAACTTACTTCATTGAGGAAAAACAATGAAAGATTACCTTCTGAATCAACATCGCATGCAACAGCACCACCACAGCTCAATCTGAAAAGCTCAAGCCATTTGCCTTTTCTAACCAACTGAAAAACTTGATACAACCTACAACAAGCCCTCATAAGCACGAGAGTCATGAAGACTAATGACAAAATGCAGAATCGCTCTATCAAATGGTTCTACCTTTGAAACGGCAGAGAAGGATTACAGCTCTCAAATTCTATACTAAGACGCTTCAATCACCTCCATTGCAACATTATTAGTGATTAAACAACGATAAATCATCCTGTAATTGTCATTAAGGCCGATACATTCCATATCCATTTGTCCCCCTCCCTAGACTAGAATAGTCTGAGAATTGTTGGTAAGAATAAGCATCAGTGCCTGCACTGCCCAGATTTACCGTTGAAAGATCGGTATGGCTGTAAGGCCAAGGGATCTGAACCATTCCATCCATGGGACTAACGGCATATGATGCCGAAAGATCCAGTTGAGGAAATTGTCCTTCTCTCAGCCTATGCAGAGGGCTTACAGACGAACTGCTGTAGATGTTCTGATAGCCATCATCATAATACTGCTCGGTTTGTTCATATCTGCCTGAGTTGTTGTTAGTTAACAAGCCCAGATCAGAAGAAGAAATGTCACCGGGGAAAGAATATTGGCGGCCGAACGACGGGTGGAGGTGGTGGTGAGGGTAGTATGGATTGCTGCTGCTTGCTTCGCTTCCCATGGCGCTCTGTTCCTCGTCGAGCAGGTCATTGATGATATCAATGTGGGGAAACTCATCTACGATGCCGCCAATAGGCGGTTGAACTGGAGGAGTATTACAAAGTAACTGGTTTTCCTGTTGTTGGTTGTCACAAATCTCAAGCCTTTCAATTCCATTCATGAGGTTCGAGCTATAAAGACCGCTGGTGGTGGTCGGGGTGGCTGCGGCTGTGGCTGCTTGATGCAAACGATCATCTTTCCATTCATGGTGGTTGGGCAAAGCATCCGGCTTGACGGATCCAAAGGTAAAAGTAGGCCTGGTGTTCATCTGATGCTCTTTCCTCACACCTGGCGTTGGTGGAAGCATAATAGATGCAGGTAATAAGGAAGTAGCAGATTGGCTTGACGATGTACTTGGTGCTTCGCTGAATGAGACTGAAGCAGAATGAGAAAACCCAGCTGCATTAGATCCCATTGTGGTCTTTCCAATGATGGCATTGCGGTATGATTGAGGAACACAACTCGAAGTAGATGGAGAAGGATCGGTTCCAAGCCGACCAGCAGCACTAACAGACCTTGAAAGTAGTGGCAGCTTCTGCACTTTGGAAATAATAGGTCTGGTTGGCCTTGATGCGGCTGGGATGAGAGGGGCGGTTGAAGGCCTTGAGATTGCATTGGAAGGCTGAGCCGTTGTGCTCTTTGCTATGATTATGGAAGCGATTCTTTGAGCTTCAGATTTAGAACTAGAAGATTGTGGTGACTTTGACGCTATAGCAGCAGCTGACTTCGCATTCTGATTGGTATTAGTTGCAGAAGGCTCTTTAACCAGAACAGGTTCAGCTAGTTGAGTTGCCGTGGTATTCGATGCAGTTGTGCTACTTTCCAGAATTTTCTTTGGCTGCTGCAAAAGTAGATTTGTCTTCCTCCCCAAACGCACTGAAGCAGATGATGCTTCTAAAGACGAGTTCGATGACAAGCTCTTTGCCTCTTCTTCATCTTTAACAACTATTTTCTTTTGCACAGTTGCAGATTCTTCACGCTGTAATGGTTAATAAGATCACAAATAATTGAGCAATTTCCCATTGTTGGTAAGTGTTTACCACATAATCACTAAAGAGGATGGGAGAAAATAGAAAAATAAAAGCGTAAAAAGACGGCATAGATCGAATGCACAAAAGTAGGCAGATTTACGTAGTGCGAGACAGAAAAAGGACATCTAAAAAATCTTATTTAAAACAAAACCACCACAATTGACAATACCAATCATCTGCTGGATCGAGATCTCAACTAGGTTCATCTACAAAATCAAAGAAAGAAGTAACAAATTAAATCATCAAACGTCAAGCAGAAAAAGACGCAGAGACCCAATAGGAAGTTAGAAATTGGAGCAATAACACATAACAGAATACCTTGCGAATACAACAAAAATAAAATCACATAATATGAGCATGAAGTTTTGGTACAACTCTCTTCCAAGTTATCTTTCACTTCATTTATCCAGATTCAAACAGCAAAAAGGTTCAGAAAACTGCAAGCATGATGAATAATTGCATATATTGTTTTCAGAAAAATGAGGCTAGCAACACAAACTTATTAAAAAGAGGAATCAATGTGACAACATATGGGGAATTTGACTTTAATATGAATACTAAAGCAGTATCAGTTCTGTAAGAACAGAAAATATGCACTTGTAACAAACTGGAAATATAATAAATTGTTGATGAAAAAACCAGTCAAAGGGAGCAGCAAGACTTGACATTTAACCGTAAACCGTAAGAACGAACGGAAGTAACTTTTTTCCTTTAATGACAATCTAAGAAATTTTACCCCACCTTTTCAATCAGATGCTTTTCAGTGTAAAGTTTAGAATGCTTCAAATAAGCAGCATCTGTCTCCATGCCATGGCAAGAACTACCACTTCCAAGCGTATCATCAAAATGACCGGCAGATTCTTGATTTAGCAAGCCTTTGCCAAGCGGATTCTTTCCCCTAAATGTTCAATTCAATAATTGTACTGAGAAGTTAAACAAATCATATTTTATCATTAGCCTTTGCCAACTACATGGATCCATCTTCAGGATATTAAAATAATGGTATAATAAAAAGAGAGTGAAGAAGAAGAAAAACAAAACAAAGATTACCGATTAGGCGAAGTATGGCTTCTGCTGTTTTGCCCAGAAAATCCTTTATAAGGGCCACTTGATACAACTGAAGGCACTGAATCAGTTGAACAGGTCGAAGAGCTGTCATCAATGATAGGACTTCTCTTTTCTGGTGGCCCGTTCGAATTTCCACTTGATCTAGCTTCAATGCAAGGATGTACTTCTGAAGCATCAGTGTCCCAATTCACAGGACTACCATCTCTATCATCTAAATCGGGATGAATGGGCTCCGTAGCATCTTCCCCGGCATAGGAGACATCAGAAGCATCTTCAAGTGTGTCCATCTTCTCACTCATAAACTGTACCCGGTTGGGAGACAATTCGCAAGAAACAATGTCATCCGCAGAATTTTCTGGTTGTCTTTCCTTCGTTGTCATGACAGGTCTCAAGTCCCTCTGTTGATCCTTACTTTTACGGTTATTCCGCTTCTGTTTAGGCTGGATATAATGGACAGCATTACAAAAGAAATAAGAAATTCTTCAGTGCTGCATTCTCAGGTTAGTATTTACACAAGCAACATAGACAGTATTTGTTAGCTGTACAGTAAACTTCAAATAAAAAAAAAACGAAAATGACAATTTGTTCACTGGAAATCGAGATAGTACAACAACATCAAGCCTTTGTCCCACTACGTGGGGTCGGCTACATGAATCCTTTTTCGCCATTGTGTCATATTAAAAGTCAAATTCTCATTTAAATCTAATAAAGAAATATCATTTCTAATATTTTCTAAATTCTAACCAAGTCTTCTTAGATCTACCTCTACCTTTCTTAATATAAGTCAAATCTAATAACTCAACTTTCCTAACTATGTCATTGGAAGGGCTCTGTTTAATGTGACCAAAACATCTAAGTCGATTCTCTCTAATCTTATCTTCCACTGGAGCTACTCCAACCTTATATTGTATTTTAATTATATTTAAGTATTAATAATAATAATTAGTTATAATTATATAAAATTAATTGTAATTAATTATTTAAATTATGATTAATTATTATTATTATTAATTAGCTATAATTAATCATGATTAGTTATTGTGATTATAATTAATTATTTTTAATTTGAAGTTAATTATTATTAAACACAATTGATTATAGTTTTAAAAAGAAGAGAAAAGGAAAAGAAATGCTGAAACCGCCGACATGATCTCGACCTCGACATCAACACCGTCGACGACTTCTACGTAGGATATAAAGTTTTAAATCCCTTCTCAACGCGTCGGGTGGACCCCCTATACACGCTCATGTAGCATTGTAGGGGGGAATCCGGTGTAATGCATGCGACGAGGAGGGTATGCCCTATACATGCTCTTGTGGTGTGGTGGGGACAATCTTAAGTACCCGTATGCGCCTCAATGCCTGCGGGGAAAGAAAACAGTGCATTTTTATACAGGTACTTTGAAGACCCATATGCGCTCTTGTAGCGAGATGGGATTGAAGACTATGACCACGGTGTCTACGGACATCTATCATACAAGCTCTTGTAGCTTGGTGGGAAGGCCCAATTCCCCACATTTCTCCCAAATGGGGGGTATACCAGGATGCTGCCAAAATTTCAAATAACCGAGGATCTAAATTTAAACAAAAACGTAAGGGACTTGTATGAAGAGTAGGAGATCAAGTCTGAACAATGGGGAGAAGGATTTGAATTGAATTACAGGGAACTAGACCCTAAATATTAAAATGCATAATAAAATTGAAATGCAAATAAACGATAATTCAAAATTATTTAAATGCATTCAAATGAACATGAGCCAACAAGCAGGAGATTATGGAGAACAAAGATCCTCAGTGCATGTAAACAATGGGTAATGAAACTCATTCAACTTGCAAAATTGCAAGCGAATATTAATAGATGGTACAAATAGATATAATAATGAACATTAAAGGGAAACTTTTAATTTACAAGCAAATCCAGTCAACTGCAAAATGTGCAGGCACCATCCACATGCAACAATCAAATATATGTTATGCAAGCAATAATCAACCTACAGATTGAAATAGTAACGCTTAAGAGCAATAACATAAGACTTGTCATGCACAAAACAACTCACATAAAGACGACAGGCGCCGAATACAGGAATACCTTATATTCAATGCCAACAGTCTGCATACAACTTACCACTACCGATAAGTACAATAAAACGACATGTGAATGGTAAAGCTGGGTATGATGCAAGTACATGTAGTATGCAACAAACACCTGGGTATTCATACAGTCGACAACAATAGAACCTTACAAGCATATGCAACCGTGAATGCAATGAGGATCGAGTATGTAATAAATTGCTAACTAAGAGATGATTAAACACCCTAAAGAAAATGTGATTTTGTCATTGTCACTTGATCACAAGGAACATATGGTAGCTAGCTTGTAGGCATCTGCAAAGGACAACAACATGTTGATTCACCCACAATTAGATATGAAAGATGCATCATGACTAGAAATGAAGAGAAGAAGGGTTATAGTGAAAATAACCCATCTACAAACAACAGTCATTAGCTGATAAGCAAATACATCAATTTGTTGATAAGTGACGATAGTGGATATGGTAATCCATCAATCAATATGTGTACGAGAAGTCAATGATGAGTGCAACTCATCCAGTAGCCTGCAACAACATGCAAATGATTGGAGATTCATATAATCATCGATGATGCAACATTAGATAAATATGTTGATTTAACGGCGAGCAGAGACAGCTAATAAGTTCGACTTGTGGATAACAACATAGGATACATCGCAAATACAGCGAATACTCTATGAACACAAACACGTACAACATCTACAATAGCAATGATTGAGAAGCTGCAAGTATGATAGGCCCCGTACAAGTGTAGAAGTACATTCACCTCGTCGAGGCCGAGAGCTTTGTTGACCAAGTATAATTAAAATTCCTCTATTTAATGACTTCAAAGAGTCTAATAGTCAGATATGAAGGTGACCCGACGTACGGAGAAAATCAATTGATACATTATCTAAGAAAGACTCCGACGGTGGTGGGAAGTATGTAAAAGTGAATGATTCGACTGAATGATTCTGTAGAATCAAAGAATGATCAGTTGAAAAGATATTTCATCTCATCATTTTTTAGAGATACCGAAGACTTCTGGTGACCGCAAGTATCTACAAATCGCCGCAAGAAACCTGTTGACCTACTATCAATGGAAGGCCCCAATTATGGCATTAACCGCGCAAATTCAAATGGTTTTATGAATGATTCTGTAGAGTCAAAGCATGAGAACTTGAAGAAAAAAATGATGAATGATATATCATTTTATCATTTCTTCAAATATGTTGGGGCTCCCGAAAGCCATGTAGTGCAATTCAAGTGAAGGCCCGGACATCAAGCTCCTCAACTCAATGTCCTACCCTCATGATGAGTTGGGGACAAAGCAATATAATGATGTACTAACCAAGCCTCTGGTCTCATCATCTTGTGATACATCATCTATCATAAAATGACCTCATGTCGTTTAGACGTGTTTACCCAACCCAAAAAAATGATAGGCTAATTCATGGATGCGATCTCCGATGAACGAGAAAAGGGAACCTACATCAGAACAACGAAGTGCCTCGCGGCATTCGAGTGACAACGCCAACATTCACTTGTAAGTAAAAACAGGTAATCAATAGTAAAAAATAAAAGGCCGCTGAAGCAGATAGAAGGCGTCAACAAAGCCTGAAATAAACCCGCACATAGTCGGCAACAATATTCATCTATGCAACCAGACACCCATTTACACTGCATGCAAGTATTCTAAAAATGCCCACATACACTCATCTCACTTGCATTACAATATGCCGCATGCGCATGTGTCATAATTTACAGAATGCATTATACGGGTATGTCAATTGACATTGTTACTGCATTCCAAAGATAACATCTCCAACATGCATCTGTAGGATGTCGAAGATTTCATTCTAGTATGTCGCCTCAACATTGCTATTGCATCTCAAAATGACCTCTAGCATGCATTGGAAGGATGCAAAGGGTTTCACTCCAGTGTGCCATTTGATACCACAATTGCATTTCAAAAAGTCATATCGTGTACACATGAATGCATCGTATGAAATGCATCCAACGATATATACCCATTGTAGGTACAAACGCGACGCTTGAGAATGTCGTGCGAGTTAAGAAATAAATTTGGATTCGAACCCGATCCTCTGTCGGCAAGTAGACATAGTTGATAAGGTTCAATCAACAACAATGAAAACAACCCAAAATCTCTTTGATGATAGCCGTGTTGATAGAAATTTCAGCAGGAGGGGATCACAAGCAATTTTTTTAAATGCCCCCAAACGCCCATAAAATCCAAGACTCCAAAAGTACCAAAACACAAGATTATTTAAAATTAAAACTAAACATTAAATACTTAAAAACAAATATTCATCCACCCTATGCAATAGTTTGCCGAGGTGAATAAATATGAAAACTACTTCAGTCACAAAGAGCTAATGTCTAGTCAAGAATATCACTAGGATTAATTATAAATCAGTCTCTTGCCAGTAAGGATGTAACAAGTGCCCTCTAGCAGGTAATTTCGTCGCTAAATGGCACCACACCTATGATTTTGCCGCTAAATGACACCACAGCTAAACAGATATGACCATGACCCTCTGAACCAGGTGGTTCATCGTGAAATGGCACTATTTTATCACGGTCATGGTTAATGCCCTTATGTTCCCCAATGACACTAAATTTTGGAGATATGAACCAATAAGATATGCTTGATAGAGCACAAAGCCCTCTATCGGCTAAGGTGGATTCAAATTTGTCCTTTGGACAAACATCCACCCCAGGTCTACAAGGTACCCTTGAACGACGCAACCCATGACTGTTGACAAGGATCCTTCTGTCAAGTTGGGTCAACTACCTCCTCTGACTAAGTAGACCAGGGATTGTGATGGTTCGGGACGACAGAACCATGTGATCTTGATCAGGCTCATAATCACTCCCCCCACCATCCGTTTAAGTGCAAGATGGTGAAATTTTAATTTTTAAATATTAAATTCTCAAATATTAAATCAATGTTGCTACCATATACCGAATCTCACATATCTACGTGTTCATCAATGACTAGCCTTAATCGAAAGTTCTCTTTCATTATCGAAAGGGGTAATTAACTATAAGAACTTGGAGCTTGCGCCTATAAGAAACTGGAAATCAGATCATAAATTCCTTGCAAAATGAGAGTGTAATCTCTGAGTGTGTCTTATCTACAATCTCAATCTACTTTCTGAAAATTTACCCCAGAACTTAATTTGTTAACCCCCCCCACCCCAAAGCAAAAGCGCGGGGAGGCCAGGGCGCAAATTTTCGGAGCCCACATTGGGAAATATCAAGAGAAGAGTTCTAATTTACCTTTGCTTGCAAAAATCCAATTCCGAAATGAGATATATACCTCCAAACCCAACATTTGTAACCCCATCATGCACTAGGCTTTCACTTTATAATATCCATGGAGTCCATCAAAAAGCCTCCCCACCATTCGTTACTTGAGAACACTATTGCCCTACCCATTATTAAGATTTGTCCGGGCTCTATTGATGCATAGTTAGTCAATGGATACCATTTTACTCTTTATGTATTTATTTATTTGAACTGTCATTTGGTTATTTTATGAATGATTTTGATTAAAAAAAGTCTGAAGGTTAAGTCTTTCTAGTAGTCTAGCTATGAAAAATGTCTATTTAGAGTAATTTTCGAACATTATGATGAATGAATTGGATCTGCTTGAAATATTTGGCCACATTGTTTCCTCTGATTGGGTTGTGTGATGTTCTCCCTCTCTTTAAGAGCTTCAAAAAGCTGAATGAGATGCTGGCAGCTTCATCTTCCAAGCTGTCCCTTACCATCCTTTCTTCCCTCCCACAGCCCTAAGCCTTCCCCATTTATTGTTGTTTTCAGCCCCAAGCAAGAGATTCCACTAATCATACACCCTCCAGGAATGTCGTAGCCATCTGGTAAGAATCCATGCCTCCTGCAACTCTATCAATCAGCATCAGAGCATGGAACATTCACTAGAAAGGCTTCTAGATATTCCCATGTTACTGCTTGGGATATAGGCTCATATCCTTAACCAATTGATCGAGTTTTCAGCTATGATGCACGGACACTGCGACACGGACACGGGACACGGCTTTTTTTAAAAATATAGGATACCGGTACGGCGCGGACACGTCAATACATTTTTTTATATAGTGTATATATATTAATGTAATATCATATTAAAAATGACAAACAATAATAAATGAATGACATGATAATTTGTCTAGCTTATAATATAAAATATTAAGTACAAAATATCTAATACAACCACAAAAATATAAGCAAATAATCACTTACTACAACATCAAGCATTCAAACTTCAACTATTAGGATTAGCTTTAGAGGTTTGTTTTTTGCCTTCAATATCATCATCATTGAATATCACTGCTTTCAACTCTGGCTCAACAAGAGAAAGATTTGTAATTGTATAAAAAGAGAGGAGATGAAAATACATTCATTGCCAAAGAGAAATGAAAATGAGAATATTCGATGAATGGGTATTAAATGCAGACGTTGATTTGGTGTTGTAGATAGAAAATAAGAAATTTAATTTAAATCTCGCAAAACATAAGAAATTATATTTAAAAAAAATTAGAAAATATTTAAGATACGTGTCAGACACGCGTGTCCAATTAGTTTTTAATATTTTTTTAATCGGACACGTTTTCGGCGTGTCTGACACGTGTCGGAGGAGTGTCGGACGAGTGTCGTGTCGGACACGGTGTCGGACACTGCACGCCTCTTTGAGGAGAAGTGTCGGTGCATCATAGGTTTTCAGTAATGGTGAGGCTTGCTAGTAGTTTGCAGTGGCTCTGGAAGATGTACGGCTGACTGTTAACTCTTCAATGGAGCTCAGAGAATAAATAAAGAAAGAAGTAGAAGAGAAAGGATTGTCAATGATGCGGTGAGGCTCTAAGGGTGACAAAAAGCACTTGCTGTCTCACAAAGCTCTCTGAAGCTCTTAAGAGGAAAACGAGAAGCATCAGAAAATCACAGAAAAAAGGAGGGCGGGGAGAATCATCAAGTCAGAAGGAATACTAATTTCATTGTTTGACCATTGAAAAACAATCCTAAGGAGTCGTGTAATAGAAATGTTCATAAGAAGGAATATAAATATAAGTTAAACAAAAATTTGAGGACCTGAAGTCAACACTAAAAGTTTGTTGATCAATAAATGATCAACGGCTAAAAACTCGCTAATTCTTTGATCTATATGTTTCCCCGTGCAAACACATGATGCAGATTCAAGGAGCAAAAAACAAACGTAAAAATACTTAGTTGAAGATGAATAAGCTACATGGAAACAAATGGGAACAACCAAATTTAGGTGGACAAGATATATAAAAAATATAAGCTGATAGTGGAAAACTACCTGCTTTTTCTTCCGCTTTTCCTTATCAGCAGCAGCACGCTTCGCCTTGAGCTCATGTTCAGCTTGGCCAGCCGCTTCCTCCTCTCGAATCAGCTCCTCTTGTCTCTTCAAAGCAACAGCCTCTTGGTAGGCAACTTCAATTCTACTGCTGCAAACAAACAGATGATATATATGTACTCCCCAAATAATACATAGCATTTGAGGCTAGAAATTTATTTTTACATTCAGAAGGAAAATTTAACTTGGAGAATGCTGGCTAGGCCTACATAGGCACCTCACGGGCATGACCAGGCGTGATCAATGTCTCCATGTGGCATGGAACTCTCCCAACAAGATTTAACATGCCCATTAAGTGGATTGCATGCACAAAATGACATGAGCACTGCTCATCTACCAAAGGAAATACTAAAAAGATAATATACTGAGTACCAGATCCTTACTTACATCCAATATCCAGTAATCGTAAAAGGTTTCTAAATGTACGCTCGAGTCCAACATTCAGTGCCATATTAAAATTTCATAATCATAAAGATGTCACATTTCCAAATATATCAAATACTAGGAAAAAATAACCAATGTTCAAAGTCTATATCAGCTGCGACCAGATTTATAAAGATCTGATCATATGATCAGAAGCCAATAGTCACAAAGATAACCAGCTAGAGCAATTAGATATGAAATGTGGGATAGAAAATGAACAAAAAAAAAAATGTCACTAGCGTATCAGGCATCTTGCAATGTGGGATATTGGGAACAGTGGTTCAAGTACCTACATTATTTGTTTTCAATATTAGAAACCGTGACCGTCAGGTCACAATAGAATCAACAAGCCAATTCTCTAGAACAGACCTCTAACACGAACTAAGAAATAGTATAAACGTAATAAATGAATTATTCACAGAAATAAAAACTGAAATATATTTCTGGCATTCAGATGCCTGTTTCATTTTGATCTATCTTCATTTGTTCTACTTTCTCCTCTACTTTCAGTTATATTTCTCCTCTATTTTTTGCTGAACTAGAAAAAAAAAAAAAAAAGAATGGCAAACATTGTATAGGTAGCCTGTGCTAAGATATGATGACTGAAGAAAAAACAACAAAACAAAAAAGGATATCTCCAAAGCAAAAATGAGTAAAGGAATCCAACCAATGGTTTACTCTCTTAAAACAAGAGTTGGAAACAGCCTCATCTTGTTTCTGCGACTACTTCCACTAGAGTTTTACTCATCAAACAAAGGCATATATAGCTTAAGACTCCCGCATGGCGGTTGACGACGCAATCTTACCATAGATTAAAAGATGTTTTCTATGATTTGAACATGTGACCTTCAGGCCAGAAATGGTAACAATCTGGTCATTCCTCCACGAATCCCTCATATTGTTCGCTCCGGAAAAATATTTAAATTGCAAACCTTGCTCTCACAAACTTAAAGGTTCCTTATTTTTCCTGAGGTAAATTGAATTTAACATTTAATCAGATTTCTCATGAGAGTAAGGTCAGGGTTTATTTAGATCTGGGTTCTAATTCCTATAAGCACAAGCCTTCATAATCAATTACCCCTTCTAACGCATTAGAAATATATTTAGTTTGTGCAAGGAGTGTGGAAATGTGCAACAGTGTTTTAGTATTTTAATCTTTATTATGGGGGATGAAGGTACACCCGATCAAGATCCCATGGTTCGATCATCCCGTGATGTGAAACTACTACAAAATAGACAATAATAAAATACATCATGTCATCTCAATCAAAAGTAGAGGCGCTGAATCGTGGCCGTCGATCTGCGGTTTCGCCGGCGATAAACATGTCGGTAGCGTCTGTCGATGTCCTCATCATCCCGGGTATACTGTGGGTTCAGTCCAATAATACTAACAATCATTGATTGTAGTATCCAGGGAATCTGATTAGCAGTCATGGGTTGCCTCCTCTTAGGAATCCCGAGTAAACTGAAGTGAAGAAATGTGAATTTTTAATTTGGTTTAATTTGGGTTGGGGCTTATAAGTCTATTTAAGAGTTGCCCGTGTGATTGGATTTAGGTAGAGGCTTGCGACTTTTATTTGAAAGTAGCCTTAATATTGGGTCTTACAGCCTCTATTAGAGGTGGCACGAATAGCATGCCTTACGACTTAGCCCTGTAGACTAAGGTGCCCAGGGATATTGGTTGGATAGATATTATGGCTTCCTTAGAAGTTGTCTGATGACAGGTCTCACGACCTAGCCCTGTAGGCTAAGCAGCCCATATGATGGGTTTTACAACCTAGCCATATAGACCAGGATGCCCAGGTGAGGGGTTTAGGTTTGTGTTATTACCTAAAAATTTTTCTTAGAGGTCGGACTTACGGCTTCTATTAAAAATTGCTGGATTGTGGGTCTTACAACCTAGTTCTTATAAACAAGGCTATTCATAGGAGTTTGAATTTTAAATCTAGGGTCGTTCATTTAGAAGTTTTCTAACATGCGGGTCTTACTGCTTAGCTTAGAAGTAGTCTATTGTTTGTTAGTTTGACACTAGACGATGGTTTTGACACTTGTCAGCAATTGTTTTCTACTTTAGAATTCAACAATGTGCTTGTTGTTTGTTTTGTGCTCGTAATTTTTCTTACTACAGTAGTTTGTTGCTATACAGCCTATACATTAGTACTATTGTTTGTTCTTTTATCCGCTTTCAGTGTTTGTTCTGCCTGTAGTAGTCAGATTTACTACTTTCAGCATTAATTTAATTTATGACGTGCTGACTTTTATTTTCTTGTTTGGAAGTGCTCGTAGCCAGCAGTTACAATAGCTAGAGCTTACAGCTATATGTGCTGCAATTATAGGGGATGGAGCTTACAGTTACAACTTTTGCTAGGAGTTGGACCTCACTAGGGGCATGGTGTTTTGCTAGGAGCTGGGTTTAGAATAGAATTTTGGAGTTTTCTTTCTATTTGGTATTTTGGTTAGTTTTTTAAGAGTTTGAGTTTTAGTGTGTATTGTATAATATCATTAGTGTGAACATTGTTCTGGATTTCATTTTATTTTATTTTAATTTAATTGAATTAACTAATTAAATAAAATTTTTAATTGAAATTTAATTTTAATTTAAAATCAATTGCTCAGCTCATTAATTGAAATTGTATTTTAAAATTGTTCAATTGATTTGATATAATTATTAATTAAAATTAATTTTATTTGCTCAATTTATTAAATTTAAAAGTTTAAGATTTAATTAAATGTTTCTTTAATTAACTATTATTAAATTTGAGTTTCAATTAAAGCTTTTTATTAAATATCGTATTAATTGATTAATTTAATTATTTAAATTTCTCTTATTTATTTCATTAAATTAAACTTAATTAAAATTATTGATTTAAATGATTTTAAATTAATTAGTTTAATTAATTAAAATTTTTTATGATTTAAGTTTTAGACCCCAACAGTTAACTAAATTAGATTACAAATTTAATTTGATTTAAGTTTTAGACCCCAACAGTTAACTAAATTAGATTACAAATTTAGTTCTAATTAAGTTTTAGATTAGTTATTATTATTTTTTTTAGTTTAAGTTTTATTAGTTAATACTAAAAAGCTCTGTTTAACTTTATTTTGATTAAGTTAATGATTGAATCTTCAAATTGATTTAAAGTTCTGCTTGGTATGAATCAAAAAAAAAAAATTTTCCTTCTTAAAAATGAGTTAATTAGTTATTTGAATTAATTATAAGAGATAATTTTTTTTTTAGTTTTAATTTAAATTTATTAGTTAAATTAATTTAGAGCTCAAATTGATTTTTATTCATTCGATTTAATTAATTTAAATCTAAGATGGTTATTTCAAAACTTAATTTCAATTATATTTTAAATCAATCATTTATGCAGAATTAGAGTTGACTATTGGATTAATTAACTGGTTAACTATTTGATATTTATTTTTTTATTAGAGAATTCGCAGTCAATTAATTAGGAGTTTAGATTTTATATTTTAATTATTTTTTCATTGATTGGTTAAATTTATTTTGGAGTTCAGTTATTTAAAAAATTTTGCAATAATCCTTGGAAGTTTGGCAAGCTTTCAATGCAAATAATTTTGTGGGGCAATTTCGACAGCCTCCCAACGTCACCTCCCCGCCAGAGGAGATTAGGGGAGGGCACTTGCCCTTTCGAATCGACTTAGACGGATCAAATCAACGGCGAGAACTTCAGGGGAGCCGGAAATAGTCTTCAATCTACTCGGCCGGATTAGATCGACGGGCGAGGGCTTCGGGGGATTCCTTCAATGGCAATTGCGGCACATCCTATCTTTTTTTTTTTTGGTAATAATAATATTTTTTTATCAATTATTATTGAAAAATGGAATATAATAAATTCCTCTTATTTCGAATGTTACTCATATAATAATAATTAATCAAACTTTAAGTCCATATCCTTTTGTTTAGTCATGGATGTTCTAACTAGACATTTGCAAGAAGATGTATCCTAGGGCATATTTTTTGCTTATGATATTCTTCTGGTTGATAATACTAGAGTTAAGGAAAACTTGAATTATGAAGGTCAATGAATGTGTGGAATCTAATTGTATTGATCAATCGGATTGTTCTGTTACCTCGGACCTCAAGTTTGTCGTGCTTGCTGGGGGGTGCAGGGGAATTACCCCCTGCTTGGGTTCAGATGTTCTTACTAGAAAAATTATTTTCATACAATGCCCCAATGCTATATGCTAGAGTTGTAAGAACCAAAATTTTTAGGTATGTAAAAATTTTAATTAATTAAATATATTTTAAATTTTTTATTTAAATTTTAAAGATAACTTGCAAGTAAATTAGTATTATCAGATTAATTACTATTAGTAAAATAGTTAAGTAAATATTAGTATTTATATTCAAGTAAAAGATTAAAATTAAATTAGACAATTAAATACTTCCTGAATTGATGATTTCAAAAGATTGTGAAGTATAATGTGGCAGTTACTGTGAAACGATTAAGTAAATAGCAGATAATGTAACTTACTGTTAATAATAACACTGCTGTTAATTAAATTTAATCTCAATATAGTATTAACATTACATTAATGAAATAACTGTTTCCACTTATCCACCCATTATTCGAAGCAGGCATCGGCTGGTTTCCATTCACATTAATTGGAAACAAATAATGGGATCGGGTGAAAGTGGGA